ACATATATATATATACAATTTTTTTTCTACTTTCACAAAACAAAAAAACTAATCTGAGTTTATTTCCACCAAAGTCTTCAAATATTTTACACCGGGGCCAACCCAAGCTTTGTGAGGTACAACATAATAGCAGTTAGACGAAGATACTCCTTAAAATAGAAACAAAAACCAAAAAAAAAAACTGTCTCTCCTCACTACACCACAAACGCTGACAGTGTGGAGGGAGTAGGGAGGGATAAACATATAAACCATCAGGGGGGTTTTTTCCGATAAATATCATTTGACTGGTTTCTTATTTGCATTTTTAAAAATTGGTTTGAACTGCTTACAAAATTCAGGTCCCAATGCTGGTTACACAGAATTAGTATTGTTACATTTTATTATATTATCTTAAGTTCCCCGTGGGTGGTTGGCGGGTGCTCTGGTGTGGTTTGCTTCTTCTTTCCTATCAAACATCTATCGTCCTTATCTCCCCCTGTTTTTTTTTTATTTGTTCGTTACTCTCTTGTAGCACCTCTAATCTTCTGGCGCTCATATGACCTTATGCAGTTGCGAGCGCCGTAAAACCTCTACTAAAACTAAACTTAGTTCCCCCGTAGGCCCGTACAGATCTCCTGTAGAGCTAATGGGTTAGGCCACCTATTATTCCTCATCGCTAATCGTTGGATGTTTTCAGGTGTGTTCGAACCCAAGCATGGACTGGAACTGGGAATCGACATGCGAGGCGCCATACTTCGCCTGCTGCTCTCTCAAATACGACGACCAAGATCAAGCGATCGCGCATGGCTAACAAGACTGGCAGATGGATTATTATTGAGGTAGCGACGTACTCATTTCTTTATGCTTTTTGAAGTACAGTCGACTCCGCTTATGCTGAATGAGCTTAAGTTGATTTTCGATGTTAAAAACAATCAGGAAATGACAAATGCAGTTTTTGGGACACCTGAATAGACATAAGGGTCTTGAACATCTAGCTCTCACTGGCAAAATTGAGGGCAAGCGAGGCAGGGAAGGCCCAGAACAACATACTTAGGGAACCTAAACAAATGGGTAACAAGGAAAGATCAGGGAAAGTAGCTATTTTTTAGAGCATCCGAGCAAGGGAATGAATGGAAAATCATGATCGCCGATGTCAGTCGCAGATCTGGCACTGAATGAGGATGATGATGATTTTCGGTGAAGTGGAGCTTTTTCTTGGGTCCCAACACCTCTTCTTAACAGTTCCCAACGGTTCAGTTAAATTTCGATGAGTTATTCTATTTTCACTTCCCCGGCAACATCAACTTATCCGTAGTCGACTGTACATAGATTGTTATAGAGGTAGCAAAAGTGATCATTTCTTTACACTTTTTAAAGTATTGGAAAATACAAAATCGTCGTCATGCTGTCCAAATATACTAAGCCCAGAAAACATCATTTTCAGAAGTGAGAAAAAACTGTTTCATTCTTTTAACAATTGTGTATTGGCTACATTGTGTATCTTTTCTTCTCGTTTTAAACATTCGTTATTTGAATTTCGACAAATATTTGTTCAGCACATGCAACCGATACCAAAGATTTAAACAACTGCAATAAATAAAAGAAATTTTCACAATATTGGACCTAGAACATCTGAGCCGTTGGCATGCAAGAATACTATCTTGTCAATGCACAGAGTGAAAATATTATATTATTTGGCTGATGAGAATCAAACTGTACAACGTTGTATTCTTATACTTTTGAAAGAAGACGACCACTGTTAAAGAACAAGCATAAGTTTCACCACTAGCC